AAATGGATATTACTTTCTGGACGATTCCAATATATTATACAGTCAAGTCTCCTATAGCGCAATTAATTCATATCGCGTTATAGGGAAACCGTGTTATCAGAAAATTAGAATTAATTGAAATCAGGAAATGCGTTCTATAGAAATCATGTTATGGGAAACATAGTTACAAGACAAATCAGATTAATTTATACCACATTATATAGAAACCGCTCTATAAGAAACTCAGAAATAATACAAATTGAACGAATTTGTACCGCGTTATATGAAATCTCAGAAATAAATAAATTGTACGTAAATCAGACTTATATAAAAACTGCATTCTCAAAGCATCAAGTTGCGATTGATACGGTTAATAAATAAAATTTTATAATAGAAATGACAATGAATATGTAGATTTTTATATATTTGAATTTAGGTTTATCGAATATAATACATAGTCCATGTAACAAAATTATAAACTAAAAAAATTGTTTTCAACAAGAAAACTTAATTTGTTACATATTAGTAACACATCCTAATTTAAAATAGAATTCTAGTATGTTAAAATAAAACGGTTTATTACTTTGTTTTATATAATTATTTTTTGGACACCTATCAAAGCCCTTATTTAAATCCTTTTATTATAAGTTCTCTTATTCATCAATGTTATTCCATATTTCTTCTTATTTATATTTATTTCTGAAACAAATGTTTTATTCTCAAACACTCTTATGAAACCGCTTCAATCTGATCAGAATTCAGACATTCCTATAATGTGGTTCATACATTGAGGGTACCACAATTAAATTGTTTTATTATTCATTATCATATTATTCAGCCAACTGAACTGTTGGAATGTTCCTGTACGAAAAACACGTTATAAGGAGACCATGTTATAGGAAACCTGTCGCAATTTTCGCTCCGCCTTATATGGAAACAGCATTATAAAAACACTGTGTTATAGGAGACTAGTCTGTACCACCTACGTATGGACTATCAACAGAGTGTGAACAGAGAACACGATATAGTACACTCAAAATTTATTAGAGTACATCTGATTGGATCTAGTCCTGTACACTATTAACCAAAACGTTTCATAAAACACTCCGTTGGCTCAAATATATATATTGTAGGGTACCATTTCCAAAGAAATCGCGAATCGGCCATTGCCAACAAAAACAAATTATAAGCCGATCAATATTTTCTAGAAGCAAATGGAAAAGTTATTTTGGTTAACAAAATTAAGTTACGTGGTCTCTACGGAGAGGTAAAACGTAGGTTAAGAAAAGCATAAAAGCATGGCCCTTGACGACCAAAACAGAGTCCTTAGAAATCAATTGTGACCAGCACAAGCATGAGTCGCTCGGTGTTGGAAAGAGAGTTAAATTAGAGTGCGTCTTTGTGTGTTTTCGTTGCGTTATCTTGGTGTTCTTTTCCTAAGTTAAATTAGTTTTATGAGTTTTGAGTTTGCGTTATTTTCTTCTTGTTGTTCTGTCAGTTTTTGGTGTCTCAAAACCAGTTTTCGCCATTCTACAATATATCGTAGGGATACTGTTTGATTGGCAAATATAAAGAATAAGAGATGTTATTTTATTCTGAAATATATATTTATTACAAGCTAAATGAGACTAGGAGTAAAGTACAAAGTACAAGATTGATAACTGATCTATGATCACGCAACCTACCGACACTCTCACGTCACCTCTTGCTAAAAACTCCGTAAAGGATTTTCTCAATACGGCCTTTGCACCCTTATTTAACACTAGATTTACGGAACCCGTCAATTTCACGGAAGGGTTGCTCCAATTATACGATGGTAACAGATTTAGTTAACTTATATTAAGACTGTTAATATAATATATAATTGTTTTTAAATTAAACTAATCGTTAAAAAAAAAGACACGTGGTTTGCTTTATCTGTCAATTTGACAGGTGTCCTTAGAAATAGGTATACAGATAGCGTCCGTAAACCTAGTGTTAAACCTAGCAATCTCTTTCCTTTCACTAGCAGGCTACCTTTTTCGATTACTCATAAACATCCCGTCCATACACTCCTTGCACGCGGCCACTCGTCCTTCCACATGCACTCCAGATATCACCCTAAATATTCGATCTGAACACGATGCTGCTGTTTATTATCCATCATCAGCCAGGTAGACTCAAGTGTCCCCTTGCACTCGCTCTCAAATCCTAGCATTCAACATGTATAGAAGGCTAGAAAAGGAACCTGACATTGTTGACAGCCATTTAATCTTCACTGCTCTTCATTAATCTTCAGTACTCTTCGTTAATCTTCAGAAATCGTTAGGACTTTATCAATGACTCTGCAAGCCATATTCAGGACTCTATGAATAATCTGCAAGTCTCTATCAGTGACTCGATCAGTAATCTTCAGGCTTCTAGTAGCGACTCTATCAGCGATCTTCAGGATCCTATCAGTGATTCCAGCAATAATTCTAATGATCTTTCAGTTGTTTCAAGACCATTTAACTGGATAATTGGACATTCGAATTAATTGAGCAATCTTCAATAAACAGTATTAAATGCTAACAATAAACATTTTGTTTATTTAATAAATAATAAAAATTTCACGTAGTTAGTGGAAACCTTGTCATATCTTCTTTCTTGTAGAAACAAGATTCTTTCAACTTCACAGAAAGAAACTTTATAATTTTATTGTCTCAGTGACACCATTTTAAACATTTGCTAAAATGGTTCTTTATTTAATAAAGTGGATCCAAGATACGATCCACTTGATATTTCGCAACGTCTCTTCGAAGCTCTTTTAGAAACAAATATTTCTTGTCATAACTGTTCAATTACGTAAAATAAAAAAATACTTGGACTGAATATTATTAAATTTTCATCCGAGTAAAAAGTATTGACATTGTACTGACTAAAATTGTACAGATGCTGAAAACATAAAAAGATCCTTATTTATAGACCTAGAAATTTTATCAGAAATATATATTATTTCCTCCTTAGTGGGGCCATGGTGGTTACCAATGTCCAGCGATATAATTTTTTAAATTTATATTTGTCTTATTCTATCTATTTTTTGAAAATTTAAAGAACGTAAGTAAATAGAGAATATTGAACGAAAGAAATTAATAATATGTACCATTTTTTTTTTTTTTTTGCCATATTGTTCGATAATTCATCATTCCGTCCTAAGGATAATGGAAATTTTGTCGTGGACCCCTGAATGTACCATATTGTAGAATGACGAATACTGGTCTTGAGACACCGAAAATTGTCAAAAGAACAAGAACACGATAACACAAACCCAAAACTCGTAAACTGATTTAACTTAGGAAAAGAACACCAAGATAACGTAACGAAAACACACAAAGACGCACTCTTTTAAAACTCTCTTTCCAACACCAAACGACTCACGCTTGTGCTGGTCACAACCGATTTCTAAGGACTCTGTTTTGGTTGTCAAGGACCACGCTTTTATGCTTTCCTTAACCTACGCTTCACCTCCGCGTAGAGGAGTCGGGCAACTTAATTTTGTTATATAGAATAATTTTTCGATTTGCTTCTAGAAGATATCGATCGGTTTACAATTTGTTTTTGTTGGCAATAGCCGATTCGCGATTTCTTTTGGTATCCTACAATTAAAAAGTATATGCTAGTCAAAGTGTTAATATAACGTGTCTGTTTCATTTTTTATCTGTATCTGTACTCATTTTTTACTTTTCAATATCTCCTGCTATCTAGAATACAAATGACTTAAAGAAAACAGCTCTTGTCGCTTTTTCAAACACACCTCTCTACATAATAAAAATACAATGGTGTATTAAGAACAAATAAATTATTAAGTTCAAGATACCATCAAACTGAATGTTAAACTAAGGGGCTATTTTTTTAATCCAGTTTAAAGAAACCATTTTTCTTTTTACATTGTCTCGAAGTATATGTTTTCGAAAATGCCTATGTAAAAGGCTTTGTTTGAATTCGTAAAATTATCGAAGTCGTAAATATTTGAAGTGCGACATATAGCCATTGTACAACGGACAGCAAAAGCTTCAAACGCATTTTTCTCGAAAGTATATTTTTTTATCTGTCTGACAGGATATCTCGCGTTTTAGCTGATCGACTGATTCGAAATTTGCAGGAAATTTTTAGCGGACGCACTTTTATCGCATGAAGCACAGATTTCAAAATCTGATACTTTTTTCTATTACTGTTTACTACCCAAAGGACGAAAAACACAAGGAAAATTGATATTTAAATTTCAAAATGTTGCCACTTTTTTAGTTTTCGAAATTTCGCTGTTTGGGTGGTTTATGCTATAGCCGTATTTATGCTAATTAACCCTTTGCACTCGACGATTTTTTCGTTAGAGAGAAATAGTAATTCGAAGACTTTCTGCCATAAAGTCGACGATATTTTTAAAACGGCAAATAAAAAATCGTATGCAAATTAAGACGTAAAATTATTTTGCTTCGATATTCCAGGCATCGTTGGGTAATTGTAAATTTGATATATTAATTAACATCCATTTTCAGAATCTGATTAAATGGCGACCGAGAGGCGCCTCTCGAGAACAAAGGGTTAAGATGTTTTTTAGTTTTTCCGTTTCAGATAACCAGATGGTCTGGAATCATGTCAGTCATTCGAGTCTATTCTTAAAAATATGATTTATCTAAGACTATATAATTATCACAATTTTGAATAATTCCGTTAAAAAAAAAAAAAAATTGGAAATATTCTTTAATGTTGCATACCAAAATGGTTTCCTTAAAAAAGAATCCTAAACAAGTCGATTTTATTGGTCGGGTTACAAGAATACCCCTTTAACTCGTATTTCCCAGCCAACAAATCGATCACATACTCCTTTGAGCACGAAATAAATATTAACAAACGTGAATTAATTTCGAGTATCATGAATCTAGTTCCTAATAACGTAAATATGATACATTTTTGATATAACGGTATCGATAGATCACGTAGAAACATTAAAAAAGCAACTGGATACCGTCTATTAATAGATTGGAAAAAGAAAAGCTACTCACCCTGTATAAAACCGTGATGAAGCTGAGCACGCCGAGGAAGAGGAACCAGAACCAGAGAAAAACGTATATTTTCTCGTTGACGACATTCAGGGGCAGTATGCAAACGGCGTCGTGCCTTTCGACCTCACCGCTGACGCCATATTTGTAGAAGGTGCACTTGGTCATCCTTGGGAACACATAAATCATTGGATCGACCCGGTCCTCTTGATCTGACTCGAGGAACCTGAGCACGTCGATACCAAACGTCAGAAACGCACCGTCGAAGAACCGGTTCATCAGAAACATCTGACCTGCGCAAATTCAAGTCTTTCTTGTAATTCTTATAAACTTACATTTATCTCATATAACGAGTGATTTTTTAGATAAACCATTTTCCAATAAAAAGGAATTTTTTTATTGCATAGGAGAGGTTATGTAAGTTATTTTTATTCATTTTTATGGTAAATTATTCGGTTTTTCAATTTTTATGCTTTAACCCTCTTACTACCTGCTAGATGATTTGTCAGCCCTTGGTGTTTATGCGATAATTACCATAATTGGCCAATATATCGATCGGATTTGTTTACGTATAAATTTGTAATTAAATATTTTATATGTTTAAATGCAGTGAAAAGAATAAAATTAAAAAAAAAAGAAATAGTACAAATTTTGCGCCAGAAAATCGATATTTGGGAAACGTACATAAAATTAATTTAAAGTATCTAATTTATATTGAAATATAGAAAAATAGTATAGAAAATTATAGTAAAATGATGACAAAGCTTCATGAATGCACCCTGTATTTACAAAAATATAAAAGTAAAAGTAACATCTCATATATAGGGTGTTATTGAACTAGTGGTCCAAGAGGTAAATGGGTGAACCTACATGAAAAATTAAGTCAAAAATGTTTGAAAAATATGCAGAAATGTAAAAATAAATCGATGTTAATGATTCGTAGAGTAAATGTAGACTTGACTATATTATAGACTAGTCTTCGTTGCGTTCGAGTTCATGCACAGTACCAATGTCATAGCTTGTTATCATATCAGATTCGAACTCTCAAAACCAGTTTTCGTCATTCTATCGCAATAGCTAAATAACACACACAAGTAATCGAAAGTACACAGACATGATCCTCACATTAGGTACTTAACACTTAGCCGATCGATCGGGGAGATCTCCCATTTTGCCCTTAGCAACGCGTTTCTCGTTTTCGGTTATTGCTTGCACTACCTCCATTTGGAGTTCGCAATTACTGACGAACTGCTTCTATAAAGCATAACATATAATAAAATTCCCCAATTTTTAAGGCCCCTTTTTCAATATTTCCGAAAAATGCAGTTTGTGTTCCCCAAGCGCGGTGGAAACCGTATAATTCGCTCTAGGGCGTGTAGTCGGCTAATTGTAAGTGTTAAGCAACAACGTGTCTATGGCTGCTAATTATTACAAGGATCGTTATTCAAACCGCAGGCATCTTGATAGAAGAGACGACCCAACTGCTTCGGAACATGGATTTTTTGAAGTGGATCTATTTTTGATCAATCGTGAGAAATGTAGAGGGCGAAATTTTGCAAAATGTAGAAGAAAGTACTAGAATTAGTATAAGGGAACTTGCTTCTAAACATGATGACAGTGTTAAAACTGTTTCTTGAATATTACGTGAGAATAAATTCCACGTCTACCACATTTCTCATGTATAAAAATTAATGGGCCAAGACTACATTCCACGAAATGCATTTTGTCACTATTTCATTAATCGGTAGAATAATAATGAAGAATTTTTCATAATATTTTGCGGATCGATAAAGCCAAGTTTTCCAGAGGTGACATGTTCAATGACCGCAATACCACTGATTACGTGAAAATCCTTACGTCATATTAGAAACATACTTTCAAGTTTGATGGAGCATAAATGTTCGAGCTAGTATAATTGGAAAACAAATTCTGGGTCATTTTTTCTTTAGTGATAATATCACGTCGTACTTGAATCTTTTACGCAATGACTGTGAGGATTTATTAGAAGATCGGAATTTAATTTTTCGACAAGATGGTACACCACCACACCTCAGTAGATCTAGAAGAGATCATTTGAATAACAAATAACCTGGCTGGATTGGTTGTGGAGATAGAGTAAGATGGCCCAGCGATCGTTTGATTTGACAATATTGGGATTATGGGTTTTAATTGTAAAATAACTACGAAACATATTCTCTATTAAAGTTTTTAGCACTGAAGCAAAGTATATCTAACATTCGTTCTCAGAATTTAGATCTTATTAACTATTTATTTAAATCTTATATTCTAGATTCATTTTTGTGTATAATTAAACTTATTTGTTCAACAGACACCAATGGATTTTTACTTATGACCATGTCAAGTCCATTGTTTACAATGTGCAAATTACGAGTAAAGAATACCCCAAACAGAAAGTATTGCTTGCATTCGAACATTTAAAAACGGAAGAATCTCCAGAAAACGTTCACAAAAATCTAATACGAAGGGTATAATTATGCTGGTAAAGAAACGGAAAATATTTACAACAATTTTTGAATTAGAAGCTTCTTGAACAAAAAGTAGATTTATTTCTTAAGTGAGATCAAATGCAAGTATACACGTACTCTACGAACATTTAACATCGACTTATTCGAGAAAGAACTGCACACTTTCGACTTATTTTTGCATCTAGATTCATCTACCTTCTTCCTTTACTACCAGTTCAGTAACAACCTGTGTATATATATATATTGATAATATAAATGAAATAAGGAAAATTTATTTCAAGATTTGTTGCAAAGAATTATCAAAATAATTATCAAAATTAAAGATGAAAATATTTTAAAAACTTTTCGATACAAATCATTATTGTAACTATCTCTGTATAAGTCCCAATGTTAAAATTTGTTATGTTACATTATATATATAATGTATATATATATAGCTTAATAGGAAAATATAAAGAGTTTACAGTTGCTCGTAAAAATATACAGGATATGTGGTAGTGGTTGTCATAGAATGTGTGGTATGAGTGTGAGGAATGTTTGTGTGGAAGGATGTGTGTGTGACGAGTATGACAGAGAGTCGAGAAAAAACAATCAGTAGATGAATGACAGTCATTGCATATAGACGTTGTGTGTGAGAGAGTCCTGAAGAGATTATATCGCAGTTAGAAGCGAATTTATTTTACGAGATTTAGCTATAATTTATGTTGTGCTGTTATTGTGTTAAATGAATCTTCTTATTAGTTTATCCATTTACTCACAGGATAGACCTCCCAACGTGACCATTTTCATTATTGGCAAGTTAACCCTTTACACTCGAGAGGTGACCTTCAGTCACCATTTCATAAAATTTAGAAGATCGATATTAATTAATATATCAAATTTAATGTAATGTAACAGTATGCGAGGTATCGAAATCAAATAATTCTACAATTCTACATTTACTGCTCAAAAAAGTATCGTCAGTTTTTTAGTAGAGAATTTTTCAATTTCTACTCTTCTTTAACCAAAAAATCATCGAGTGCAAAGGGTTAATTTTTTCTTCATTTAGTGATATAATTTATTTAACAAAAATCGGATATCGCTATCCTTAAAAACTCTTCAACGAACTACCTCTAAAATAATTTTTTATTCATTTCCAATAACAAAATAATTGGAAATAAATGAGGTGGTTACGTCAGGTCATCCATCCTGTACATTGGTAGAAAAATAAGAGGAATGTTATCTTTTCAAACGAAAATAAATTCAATTTACATAGACCCGATGGATATCTGAGAAAGGAACAGGTGTATTAATCTCGTCATCAATTGGAAAAAGGAAATATAATGATCTGCGCAATTATTGATAATTGAAATATATTTTATTATTAATCAGTAAAAATATTTTTTAATTAATAATAAATTGTTATTTAATTAATATCGACAGTAAAAAATATTTTTACTGATTAATAATCAATTAAAGAAACATCCTTGTAAATAGGAGGAAAACAATTTTTCAGGCTGTTAATGATTTAAAACCTTGCATTTTGAAAGAGTGGGATGAAATTACGGAAAAATTAATAAGAAGACTATACAAATCTCTGCCAAGGAGGTAGTACTAAACAAAGTCGGAGCTATAAAATATTAAAAGTAAATTATCTTCTTTTTAATTTATTTTTTATGCTCAATCACAAGGTGTGCTACCTTTCTGTCTCGCATATTTTGTTCTATTTTGAAAACTAGACATATAATATACAATTTTGTATCAAAGAAATAGTATTTGCATAAATAATTAGTATTATAAGTTTAAGTGGCTCTAAATATATGTTATAAACTTATTATAAGTTAATTTTGAATCGAAATAAAAAAATAAGTAGTTATGGGAGATATGCTATCATTTTGTCCCATACTGTATATGCTAAGTTTAAAAATAAAACTCAATGTATATAAATACAATATATAATACATATATAAGATGCTAAATTGTAGTAGTATAAATGAAATTTTGATATCTAAAATTAAAGTCAACCCAATATATTGCAAAGGAAAAAGTTGTTAAAAATTAGGCTCTTTTTAGCATATTTCAGAGTCGCCAAAATTAAAGAGGATTCAGTCAATCTAGAATTTGACAAAAATTTTTTGAAATTTCTTAATATGGAATCTCAGACAGAGTTTTCATTGACACTAATTGTGTACATGATTTACCCTTCGTATATACACCATAAATTTTCAGCTAATGTATGGGTGGCAATCATAGGCGACAAATTGATCGATCCTTTCAAGCTTCTATATAGAGTTCATTCTATTTACAATTTTTGCAAGATAATTTTCTCGAAATGTTAAATGATACTGCATTGGCAACGCGTTAATAAATAATATTTTTATGCGATGTTACTTCGTGCCATTTTAAACGAAATATGTGTAAATCTCTTAATAGACAATTCTTTCAAAGTTGGACTCATCGCAACCAATCATAAATTAGCCTTCAAGCCATCTAGATCTAACGCTCCTTAATTTCTATTTATGGGTTCACGTGAAACAATTAATTTACGAAAATAAAATAGAAACAAAAGACCAGCTTTGAAATAATTTTCAAATATTTATTGCAATTCCTATAGCAATAAATAAAAATTTTTAATCGATTACAACTTTTGAATAAATCATTTTTGAACAAGTTTATATAACAATTTTTCACCTTTTTGGCCTCATTAATACGTAGTTATAAGTTGGTTCTCAACTTTTTTGAAATCCCTGTATATACCTATTTATTTTCATCATACTATTTTAATTATTAACAATTATATAACTACTATGTCTAGATACATGTCACAG